CCGTCTATGGTAGACAGGTGGGAAGCCACGAGGTGACGACGGTGGTGATGAAGAACTGGGATCCGTTGGTGTTGGGGCCCGCGTTCACCATGGAGAGCAGCCCAGCTTGGTGTGCCTGAGCTGGAAGTTCTCGTCTGCATACTACGCATTAATCCCGCCCGCAAATACGCCGAGGATACCCTCAAGCGCACAAATAAGCAAGATGGAGATGCACGACGCACCCTTAAACTTCGCGCCATAGATCGACACGCCGCACGTCCCATCGTGGTTCGTAAAGTCGCCGCCCTGGAGCATACATAAAGCTCGGGATGACGCGGTGGAACCCCGAGCCCGCATACGCGTGCCTTGCTCGACGGCTCTCGTTCGCGTTGAGGCCCTGCGCGAGCTTGCGGAAGTTGTCCGCCGTCTTGGGCACGACGTCGTCGTACAGCTTGAACACGATGCGCCCCGCGGGTAACTCACATAAACGTTAAGCTGGGTTGTTAGCGGAGAGAGGGAGGATCAATCATGGACGGCCGGAGCTCGGAGATGATGGCCGGAAGGGGCTGCGCACGGGCCAGGCAAACTGCTTTTTCCACGAGCCTCCAGTGGCGCCGCCTCCACAGGAATTCTGATTCGAAGGAACCGTAGCCGACGGTACTACTATCCCATAATTGTAATTGTGGCGCAGTGACGCTCATGCACCGACCTCACCGTGCCTCTTATTCTTACTCTTACTCTTACCTGACAGGATATTATTCCTACAGCGTAAACTCACAGGATTACGCTGGTGTCGCGATCGAGACTGTTCGACGCCGAATCGGTGCGGGTGAAAATTCTACGTTGTGTCTAATGTCTATCAATGCTTACTTGGACGTCTGTTCAAGTTTGGAGGTTCTTTCCTTACGCGTTGGGGTCGCTGGCGGCCGACGCTTCAGCGCACCATTCGATGAGTCGGGATTCGTTACAGCAGCAATGCAGCTTACAGCGTAGGCGGAACGTCTATCTAATCTTCATCCATCTATGTACTATCCATCCGGCATCTCAACGGCCATCCGCGCGCACAGATGAGTGTTCGTCAACGATCCAGGTTTGCTGTAACATTCGCAGCTGTAGGCCTTAAAGCCTGCAGTCTGCATATGTATTCACCTCTATGCGCGCGGATGATGAAGATCGCGTTGAACCCGCGTATGGTGAGGACTCGAATATTACAGTGGCAGCAAAAAAATATTCTGCCAACTTCGAATTCCTAGGGACTAGGCCTTCAACTAACCTCACATTGGATATATGTGTGTATGTGTTCGAGGCCCGGTAGCGGATGGTCCGCACCTGCAATTAATGCCTAGTAGACATGAATTCAGCAGGGTACGCTCGTTCGAGTCGAGCCTGGGCCATTTCTTTGGGCGCATGTTATTTTTGCTTTCCTTTTTTCTGATTCTGATTCTGATTTTGTTTCAACTGACGAGTCTCTTGGAGCTGAGGAGAATATTATTCAAATTTATTCTGCTACTAAATAATACTAGTAAGAGAAATCTTAGGCCTAAATTCCAAGCTATTTCAACCAACCTCACATTATATGTATCCGAGGTCCGGTAGCGGATTGTCTGCGCTTGAAACCAGTTCGGTGGCGTTTCGAACAAGTCCGCAGGATATGCTCATTCAAACCGAGCCTGGGCCACTGATGAATACGAGGCGGTTAATTTTTTCCCTTTCTTTCTTTCTCTATCTGTTTTAATTGTGCCAACCACATTCCGTTCCGTCCTGTCCTTAAATAACAGATTCACAGAGATGCATCTCGATCCCCTCCCCAGGCCACGAGTAAATCAAGTAATAACGTAGCCATGATACACATTTGTGCATTTGCACGCAAATCGGATTCGAACCTCACTTCAATGTAAACCTGGCCCCAGTTTACAGATCACTGATTACATACACTCGTCGTACCTTTTGCCATTACCACCGTCTTGTCGTAGCTCGCGCTCTTGTCTTCTCGAATCACAATGTGGTCTTGTTGGATCTGGTGTGTTTTCGACTTTAGTGTTTCCTGTCTGGCCGACAGGCTTCCATTCAATGGCTTTTGTCAGCAAACCAACGCTAATGGGAGACTGATTTTAATTTCACCGAGCTCACAGGTACTTATGCGGATGAGAGGGGGTCCGGTGGGGGATGGTCCGCACCTGCAAGCTGTCCAAGTTTTCGACCAGCCTTTATAAGCAGGATATGCTCGTTCGATTCCAGCCTGGGCCCTAGTGTGCGATTGATAGTTTTTTATATAGTAAGCAGAGATCGTAAGTTACAGAAGTGGAAGTCATTCGATCCTGCATTTGTATCGTACTCATCTGGATAAGTACAACTGGAGGACTAATGCTCAGGTAACTATTTTCTCCAGCACTCTGAGTTTGGAGCAAGTTCAAGTTCTTAACAGTGGCGGGGGATCCGCACTTGCATCCTATGAGTTGCAAAAATCCTGGTTATGCAAGAGATGGTCGTTCGACTTGAGTTCAGCCATTAGGGCGAAAGAATCGTAGTTTTTCTCCCCTGAGTCCCCTCCTTCCGCAGAGAGTTTGTTCGACCGTGACGGAGTCCTAACTTGAGCGTCGACTTATGCCTCGATGATCTATATAGGACTCAGAGACACTTGTTCGACGGGCCCAGGTCCTACCGCAGTGTTTTAAGTTTCCGACTTTTTGTAAACACAAGTTACCTAAATAACTGAGTCCTAGCCAAGTTTCCAGGCCCTTGAGGAAGGCCCGGTGGCAGGTGGTCTGCACTTGCATCCTATCGAGAAGTATCTCAAACGCAGTTGAGCAAGAGACGCTCGTTCGACTCGAGCCTGGGCCACATGGTTAAGTAGAAATGCATCTTTTTTTCCCTCTTTCTGAGAATAACTTGGTGTATTGTGACTGAGTTTCTGGGTACATGTATCTTACTTATTCCTCGATGATCTATGTAGGACCAACCACAGTACTGAATCGAGTCCTAGCCAGTGTTCCAGACTCTCGAGGAAGGTCCGGTGGTGGGGGTCTGCACTTCCAACCTATTCAATGGAAGTTTAGAAGCAGGAGTCAAGCAGGACATGCTCGTTCGACTCAAGCCTGGACCATAAAAGGAATGAAAAATTTTACCATCCTTCCAAGAAGAGCTTGTTTGACTGTCACGGAGTCCTAGGTACTGTACTCATGCCTCGATAATCTACGTAGAGATACTCGTCCGGATTCTATCACATCGTTTCAAGTTTCCCATTTTTCTCTTATATAAAAACTAACTACACTCCCAACCTGAGCCCTATCGAAGTTTCTCGGCCTCTCAGGAAGACCCGGTGGTGGGGGGTCTACCCCTTTCAATGGCCATAATCTTGAGGGTACACGTATTTTTTCCCTCTTTCTGGGAACAGCTTGTTATATTGTGACTGAGTCCTAGATATTGTACTTATGCCTCGATGATCTCTGTAGGAGACCCTTGTTTCTCGTCCTAGCGCAGTGGTTCACGCCACCTCCGACTTTTTCTTGTATAAAAACCAACTAGCAATGCTGAACCGAGTCCTACCCAAGTTCCCAACCCTTCTGTGAAGGCCCGGCGGCGGGGGGTCCGCACTTGCATCCTATTCAGTTGAAGTTCAAAGCGAGAGTTAAGTAAGAAATGCTCGTTCGACTCGAGCCCGAGCCATTCCACAGGAGAACAAAACTTTTTTTCGCCTTCTTCTGCGAAGAGCACCGAGTCCTTGTTATACTTATGCGCGCAGTGCAGGACACACCGCCATTTTTCGTCCTCGGGCGCTATGTGTACGTATCACCACCGAGCCCCAGTTCGTGTACATCAATTGGTATGGGTGATATACAGCAGTACATTCATCCGTCCTTTAGAATCCGAATTAGCGTCCGGCTTCTTCCCCTCTCCTCATGCCCAGGACGCCAACGCCAAAATCACCTCAACTTACACCCTCCTGACCCTCCACCGACCCCACCGTTTCCACCCATCCCCATCCTTCGTGCTGAACACACCCCGCGCAGCCGCGGCCCGCCGCGCAAACTGCCCAGGACAATCGCGAGCCCGAATGCGTAGTAGAACGAGGATGGCAGTGGCACGTATAACCTATGATGCACACAATGGGCGGATACACGCACGCGCGTGTGTACCGAACACCGAACGCGACTGAATGCGCATATATGCAGTCCCGCTCGAACCGCACGAGCGGCCCATCACAAGGAGGGGAGAGCAACAAAAGAACAAAGGAAGAGGAAGAAGGACGCACCGAACACGACGTGCTCACCATCGAGCCACGAGGTGACGACGGTGGTAATGAAGAACTGGGAGCCGTTGATGTTGGGGCCCGCGTTCGCCATGGAGAGGAGGCCCGACTTGGTGTGCTTGAGCTGGAAGTTCCAGAAGTTCGCGTCGGATGAGGGGAAAAAAGCAAGGCCGGCAAGCCCCGCGATCGGAGATGATGGCCGGAAGGGCCCATGCGCACGGGCCATGCACGCCGCTTTTACTTTGCACATAATTCTCACCGCCTTTCCCGCGTGAGGCTTCCACGATCTAGCGCCGCCTCCACGGGGAACTTCCATTCGAAGTTGAACAGGAACGTAGGCACTGTACCCAATAATCATAATTGTGGCGCACTGGCAGTGATGCTCATGCCTCTTACTCTTACTACTTATCAGTATATTATCCCTATAGCGCAACCTCACAGAATTGCGGCGGGATCCGTTACTCAGCTTACAGCGTCGCGGAACGTTCATCTAATATTGAATCAATCCATCGATTCTGGATTCTGGATTCTGGACACGTCTACACGTCTATTCGCTCCATGATTCATCCCGCATGCGGCCCGCCCGGATGGTAGAACGTCTCAGAAACGTTCCCAGCCGTAGGTGAGTCTGCACATGTAATAATCTCTTTGCGCGCAGATGACGAAAGTGAGGATTCGAATATTACACTGGCAGCAATAAAATCGAACAGAATTCGGAGGGCCTGATTCCTACAATTAACCTCACATTAGATATATGTGTATATGTGTTCGAGGCCCGGTGGCGGATGGTCCGCGCCTGCAACTAGTATAAAGGATCCTGTAAATCAGCAGGGTACGCTCGTTCGAATCGAGCCCGGGTCACTTTATAAGTCCCTTGGACATTTTTTGATCTTGCTTTCTGTGTCGGTTTCTGTCAAGTTTCTGTTTCCACTGATAAGTCGTGTGGAGCTGAGGAGACTATCACAGAAATATAATCTATTCCTTACTATTGAGAGAATCCCTACGCCTGAATTCTAAGTTATTTCAACTAACCTCACATTGGATTTACATTCGATGTATCCGAGGCCCGGTGGCGGATGGTCTGCACCTGCAAACTGTGAAGAATTTGGTTTGCTCTGGTAAGCAGGATATGCTCGTTCGATTCGAGCCCGGGCCACTTCTTCGGATGAGGCGCATGTTTTTTTGGCTTTCCTTTCTTTCTGTGTCTGTTTCCGCTGACCACAACTTAGATTCCCGTTCTATGTAACCAGTCGCCATCCAAACGTGTTAGCACTTGATTTTTTTCCGCATCAACGGCGGAGCGTTTGCTGTAACATTCGCAGCTGTAGGTGAGACTGCATACGTAAGTCGCTACCTGAGTGTCGACGCCGAGCCACTGCGCCCAATATTCCCCGCGTCACCGTGACCGTAGAGAAACACCTTGTCGAACAGACCAGTGCCGCGCGTGAACGATTGTGATGCCGGGGAGCCCATGCAAATAACCTGCGGGGGGGCTGCGCCGGCGGTGCTGAGGTGCCCGTGTCGAAGCTGAAGTACGATGCGTGTGCGGTCTTGCCGGAGGACAGGGACAGGGACAGCGTGGGCGATGTCTAATGGAGGGGGAGAACTTAGAAGTAGCGGTCCAGCAAGTAACCCCCAAGGCCGCCAATTTGGAGATGTGCCAGATAGTCTAATGATTCAGAGAACTGAGATACTTAGCCTCTGTCGAGTACAGCGAGAGGAGATAGACCCAGAATCGCAGTCTTTGAGTCAGTCGCGGATTCGAGCGTGTGACTGCGATGGACGCACACAACACGTCCATAGGAACAAACAACGCGTCAAAAATGCAGCTATCGGTGCGCCGAGCTCGTTCAGGCTTCAAAAATGGATGTTGAAAATAAGAATATGGATAAAAATAAAAAAACCCCACGACCTAACATTTTCTTTTGGAAAAAAGCAACTTATCAACATGGCCGTATACCCAGTCCCCGGGTCGAACGGGAGGCCTCCTGCATGCATTCTCAATAGCAATATTTACTAAGGAGAGCAGGTGCACGTCGTGTGCTACTAGGTGCCTGAACCCATTAGCACGCCTGCATTTGGAGAGGTGGAGCAAGAAATGAAGCTGGGTCGCAAAGGCATGCGACGATGCACAGAGCCCATAGATTCACCCGATGAAAAGAGCTAATTTAGATGTAAATGGACGTGTGGACGACGTCTGTAAGTGGATGGAATGGGGGAAAAATACTCTGGACTTTGTCACTACCCGGCCCCGGATCAAACGGGGCAACCTGTTCTCGTAGATATTGCCTTGAGAGACTCGAGCGGCGTTACCGAGAGTAGGGCACGCATTACGTTACCAGGTGTCTCTACATCTATAATTTTATTCAATTTATCGGAGAAGCAGAAGCCCGGAAAGATTCCCAGTCACAATTTAATTATGTTGAGTTCGCGGCGCGGCGATTTGTTTACAGCAATTCTGTTTCCACCTGAGGAAACATGATTCAATGGTGTTTCTACCGCAAGAGCATGATGACCCACCTTCTCAGGTTATCGGGGGATATACAACGGACGGAAGAAAGGGAGGGGGCGGACCGGGAAACTAATATATCGTCAAGCAGGTGCATCGAGGGCGCGGAATGATCACCTGCATTGTTCATGGCGGGGCATGGATTAGGTCTGTAACGGAAGGTCGGTACATGCAAATTTATTTGGTTATAACACCTACCAATCCCAATTGGCCCTGGAAGTGAAAAGCGAAGAACGAAGTATACTGGGATAAACGCAATGCCAGTAAAGAACTCAAAACAAGGAATTTGAACACTCGCCAGTTACAAATTGAACGGAGAACAAAGACCGATAGATATTGGAATAAATGCAACATTAGTGAATCATCAATGTAATCCGAAAAGTAGATCGGCCTGACCGTACCGGTAGGTTGAAGCGCTCAAGCTGTTGAGCATCACCTTGATAGATAGGCAATCATAAAACCAAGAACACTACATGGGATTATTGAATCATCGCTGAGGATCCTTCCTGATCACTCACTTGTTTCGAAGGTCGGACGTCGGTTCTTTGAGCTGGGAGTAGTCAATTTTGGAATTGCGACCTGGGGGAAAATGAGCCCAGAGCGTAAAAAAATAACACCTCGAGCTGTTTGGAACCGAAAGGCAAAGAGACCAAGAAGATACATCCCTCACCCCTCCATTGAGTGATTTGATGAAGACACCGGCCGCTCGTGGATTTGTTACGCACTAGGAGGTGTCTATGTTAGTTACAGATGCAATTGAAGAATGATTCAGAGTCGAAGACTCACGGTGCAAAGGACTCAAGTGAGACGGGGGGGAAGATGATGGGGTGAGAATGAGAGAAAGAGCGCGACGGAGAACCTTCCTTTTGAACGGAAATTGAGCGCTGATCGGCGAGGTTGAAAATACACTGGAGCGGCCAGTTCCGTGGACCGAAGCTAAATTCTGATGCACTGGAGAACCCCGAAAATAAAACGGGAAATTGCGTGCACATAGGGGAAGCGCCGACAGAGAGTGGGAAAAATGGAAGGGTGCAGACAGATGCAATGTGATACGAGGCATCTACTTAATTCACGAGGTATCTATGTATTCTTCCGTATATTTTGCTTAGTCTGCGTCTGCTGTAGTTCTTGCTCAACTAAATAAAATGTAGTCTTGATGTCCACTCATTTTCGTGCGGCCTATGATCCACAGTATCATGTGCGATTTTCAATTTTCAAGCATATTGTTTCAAGAACAATAAAGGATATTCATTTACACGGTGTAACCTTTACAAACACATCTCACCTCTCGACTTCAGAGTAAGCCTTGACGAACCACCATGACATACAGGATTACTACCAAAAGGCTTAGATGAGAACATTAGGGTGGTTTGGATATTGAACGAAGGAGCGCACTAGACTCAAGCCAGTCACTTTCGGCCGACGCAAACAATTGATGACAGTCGATCAATAGGCGGGGCGAAAAGCGACTGGAGCTAAGTAACCGGCAGCTAGTACGGTCGGGAGTTACCGATGTAGGTTGTTTTGACTTAGAAAATTTTCGTTCATCCAAAATTCAAACTGGTTGTATAGAAATTCTGAATCTGAAGAGACAGTTCTCTTCTGAATGTGTTAAAATGTACAACCTATTGGGTTTTGAGACATATTAGCTGGACTGGACTCTACAGGACTGATTTTTCTGGCGGAAATGTGAGCTTACGGGTTCTATAAATACCACCATCATTGCCGCATCTTTCGCATCACTTCCAGGTGTATCACATGAACAGGTCTTGTCTTGAGACTCGAAGCTCGTTTTCTCTGTACCACCCCTGTGCTTTCAATATTTGGTAGGTAGAGTGTATAGGAAGACTCCCTGAAAGATTCGGAAGAAGACTGTCTCCTCAGAATTCTTATCCACGCAGTTTGAATTTTCGATGCAACGAAAATTTTCTAAGTCAAAACAACCTACATCGGTAACTCCCGACCGTACTAGCTGCCGGTTAGAATCCTCCAGCCGCTTCGCCGTCACCTTTTGATCGACTGTCATCAAAAGTCCAGTGTCGGCGGCTGCGGCTGGGTTCGAGCCTAGGAGCGCACCGATCGAGCCTACAATTTTTCAGTTCACATTTGTTCTGCGCGGCGGGCGGAAATCACTGCTTCTGCGCGAGCCCACATATCTTGACCACCGACAACCCCACAATGCCAGTCCGCCTGCGCGTCAAGGTCGTTGTCTACGACAAATCGTATGTCCTGCGATTCCGGCAACCATTCTGTCGCATCAACCCCGGGCCCAAGCGGGCACAGGAGGATGCAGCACTGGAGCCAAGGACATTCGTGGAGGGCTGGGTAGACGATGTTTCGAAATTGTGGGAGATTGAACGCGAAGTGCGTCAGACGTGGTAGGGATGCCAGGCCCATCTTCCAATCTTTCGCGCTAGTGTTTGTTGTCTCGTAGGTGCCCCAAATATTGAGACTGAACACGACCAGACTACCGAGAATATACAGATGGGTAACGTCATGGAACGCAGGGCTGCTGAAATAAAGACCGCCGTCGAATATGGCTCCGAGCTTGACCGTTAGACGCTGCAGCGGCATAACATCGAGGTGTTCCAACATGTGCATGGGAGGGAGATAAAGGTCGGCGATGTATAAGGCAGTGATTCCGGTGCAGGCAGTCAGAAAAGACTTGATTTGACGGAAGAAGAATGGGTCGAAAAAGTCTCCTGTGAAACCAACAAAGACATGCCGCACGGCGTCCTTGAAAAACGAGGCTGGCTTCGCCTTGAGCGCCTTATCAAGAATGTCCATTGTGAAATCAGGGAAGCCATCGATCGGCTGCGAATCGGAGACGCAGACGACACGGTACAATAGCGGTTCGACCCTGTGAGGCACGGCGTAAAGAGGTATCCCCAGAAGAAAGTTTTTAAATACCAAGAACAGACATGCCGTGCTACCAGCATCAGTTTGGGGATCGTCACAGGCCGAGAAACGGCCGCGATTTGAAAGATGATCCGCTCTATCTCAGGAGGAAGCTTGGGTTCTACGTCGGCCATGGATTCGATGGTGGGCGATCTCGATGTGGCTCCTGCTTGCTCTCTGGGAGTGAAGGTACAGAGCAAGCGCAATGACAAATTGACGTAATGAGATTGCCGGCCCGACTTTACCCGTTTGCCTTCGTCATCTCTGCACTCTTGTCCCTCAAGAACAGAACGAGGTTGTGAATGGGAAGTCATTGAAAGAGACTGCCTCAAGAACTGGTCTGCGCTGAGGCCTTTTGAAACTGTTTTACGCACCCTGCCAGGCGGGCAGTTATCTGCCCGGACTGCCCCTCACTTCATGTGTTGACGAAGTAGTTACGGGCCGAAGTGCCGGGTATTTAGACATTGTTTGTACGTCGAATACGGGAGCTTTGCTGCTTGTTTCATACCACGACGACACGCCAACGGGCTTCGACCTCAACATCATGACATCTCCCGGGCCGCTGTATTTCTGTCCCAACTTGAAAGTGACTTTCTCATGCCGGAGCCGCTCGTGGCAAGTCGCGGCAGGGATTACCCTCAAAATATATAGCCAACTTGGAGAAATTGAGGCGCTTCTTACCATACACCCACCCCGCTGTAGGTTTGACGTGGCGAGATCTGTGGCGAGATCGGACCCATGTCCGAGCCACACTAGCACTTCAACCGATCTATATAGCGGCTCAGGGTGCTGCAGAAAAGGTCTGCCGTTTGTTCTCCTCCTAATTTCGTGGGTATCTTACATCTGCAAATTCTTGTCTGCGGGCACTATCTATCATCGCCGCACTCACCGCCCTTCTGCGCGCCTCTCCTGAACCTACGAGTCCAACAGTAGCCCTGCGTGTCTTGAGGTGGAGAGATTTGTGCCAAGTCAGCGACTTTGGATTATACGACGACAAGATGAAGTTTTGCGATCTACTACTCGCTGGCATTACTAACCTCAGCTGTCTTTAGTGCATGCACTGATGACGGGACGCACTGCCCACCCTCCAATCCGTGCTTCGGTCCCGTACAGGTGAATAAATTCGTTCTTTCACCATCTCCGTGCTCGCACTCCTCCGGTAACTAGTCGACGCCTAAGGCCGAGTCGTGGCTCTCTCGAGTAGCGCGGCGTGTGCGTGCCGCTAGTGTAGTGCGTCGCATGCCACAGGGAAGCCACGCACATTCAGCTGATGCGAATTCGCGTCATTTGCGACATGCGTGGCTTTGTGCGTGGATTCTAACGCGGTATACATATCTTTTTCTGTTTTCCCAATGCCCTCCCAAAAAATTTCTGCTCCGACGACGTTCGCAGGTTTAGCAGTAAGGCCCGTTGGCGGGAAGTCAGCGCTCGCAACCAATGAACCTCCCCTCTGCAATGAATTAAGCACATTCGTTCGACTCGAGCCCGGGCCCTAGTCTGTCTCAGATTTTCTCAGGTTTTTTTACCGACATCCTCTTGAACTCTTCTACCCACAAAGATTTCAGTTCATAGATATACAAGGGCAGTAGAAAAAATATCCCTGCGACAAATCGAGAACCATCATCATGTCGGGTCTAGATTACCGGCGCTGCGTTCCATTTCACTCAACTTGCCAGGCATATTCGTGCCTCCAACCCACGAACCGCTCCAATTTTGGGCCATTGAGGATCAGAAATTTCTTCGTCACCTCCTCCCGCAGACTCTCTCCTTGAGACGAAAGGCCCTTCAATACATGGGAAGCATGACATGCATTTAGAATGTGAGGAAGACACACTTTCTGGTTCCAATCGAGCCCCAGCCTAGCAAGTCGACCACCACGCCTCGAAACCGAACTTTTATTTCAATCTAAAGGTAAGCATAAATGGCCTTGTGGCGGGCGGCCCGCAGTGCATCACATAAGATGTATAACTATGTCTTCGCGATATCCTTGTTCGACTCGAGCCCGGGCCGTGGGGAGTAATAACGACGCTGTTTTTGGTACATAAGTTAGGCATCCGTATTTCTTGTCAAGCGACCTGGATTCAATGAGTATGTAGGAGATGCTCGTTCGAATGGAGTCTGGGCCCTGGCAAATGTTTACTTGCTTTATTTAATTTTCACAATGCCGGAGCGCATACCATCTGCGTCTCTTCCAAAGTGGAGATTACATTGCGTTCAGCCCGATACAGGGAAGTCGCTCCTGCATGCATATGCATATCAATACGTGCACCTGAGTCTCACCGCAAATGGAGAAACAACCTGGTGAGCACTTTTCATTCCATTTCATTTACTTAACCTGCTAACCGAGTTTGTACCTGGAAGCAAAGGGCCCGCTTTGCGGATAAAGCCCGGTGCCTGCTAAGTGTAAGTGCTTTCATTCTCATTCGATTTGACGCCAAGTCCTTACTAGATTCGTAAGTGGAGAAAAGAGGTGCGGTGGCGGGAGGCCTACACGTACATTTCTTCATCGAGCTGGTAAAATCTTATGTAGGAGATGCTCGCTCGTTCGACTCGAGCCCAAACCATCCAAGGAGAGCAGTGAATTTTTTTTGTATCTCGTACCGTTTCTGTTCTTCCTCTCCTGCGGCGCTCAGGACAAAGATATCGATGCTAGTTGGTTGCATAATGAGCAGAGAGGGGAAGTCAATTAATCCCGCCTTTTCAAGTTGTATCCCAACCCCAATCCCGATACAACCCGAACCAGGACCAGTGCGCGGCCCGGTGCTACGCCTTCGAAGCCACGTCGATTTTGACACCAGATAGGTTCGGTGCATACCTCGGCGCCCAGCCGAAATACAGGAAGTAAACGGGGCATGAGTCGCGATACAGATTCAGGAATCAGATTCCGCATTGAAAGTGAATGAATTTGGGGCCAACCCGGACCCACGGCGCGTTCACGTCCGCTCCACTCCACTCACCCCGCACGCACGCTCACAGAGACGAGACGAGACGAAGCTGACGCGTCTCGAGATCATGATTCGTCTTTGTACAGCCCACCGAATCCGCGCCTGCGACCACATGCCCGTCATTCGCGTCTCGTCATCCGCGCATATCGAGCGCGTGCGCGAATAAGGGCGCGGGCGCGGCGTCCTCCGGGAATAGCGCGCCGGGTAGCACGCACGTCGCCCCCGAACTCCGCCCCGCCCGTAGGTACGCTGAGCACACGCATACGCGGGCGCGCTACACCTCATCTTCGAACAGCGCCGCACGGACGGGTGTGAATCCAGGTTTGCGTGCGGGTGCAAGATGCAAGGTGCCGTCCGTCTGTGAGTAGCTTGCACGGCCGTGAGTAGCTCGCACGACGCCCATAAATTCCGCACACGCGCCCCGCGTGCACGAATGCCGCGTGGTCCGTGAATCTCGCACCGCCGAGGATACCTCGCGCGTACGCTGGCGCCGTACGCCCAGTACGTGTGCAGCACTCCGGTTCAGAGCGCACGGCGCGTGCAAGAGTAGAGCGGGTGCGAGCTGCGAAGTGTACCACGGACACACGGACGCGCCGCCCAGCGCCCACCGACGCTTCATCGGAATAGTGCGCCTTTGCGCGGGGAGATACGTATACGGCACCGCCGACGCCTGCGCTGCGTCAGCCCGAGTCTAGGCTGGGGGGTAGGGCGCGCGCATAGCGCCCTCAAATCGAATGCGAGTCGAGTGGGTGGGGATTCGAAGGGCGGACGCGGCGTGCGGGCGGGAGAGCGAACGAGCGCGGAAGACAAGAGCGACGCATCGAACTATATGTGAGTCCAAGCCTGGGAGAGCTGCACGACAGGGTATTTGCGCTCGGACCGCGGAAGTGCGAGGGAGAAGCATGCCGTGGTACCTGTCAAATCAACGGCAAAGGAGAGAGCGGCGACAAGAGTGGATGCGGCGGGATCCGAGACAGAAAACACAGTCAGGGGTTGCGAGGTAGTAGGGTACTACTCGGCGGCGTCGAAGCAAGTGAGAATATTGATGAGAATCGGGCGCGAAGGTGAGTCAAGCCAGCTGCGGGATCGGCTGGATTTCGAATTTAAAGGCGGAAGGCTGTTACAGTTAGCTGGATCCTGGTGTTAGCGTCGAATTGGATCAACACGGGTTGGCTGGCGATCGAGACGTCGAACTCAGGAAGGGGGGGAGTCAATACTAGTCAGTGTCGCGATTGTGTGGCGTTCAAGTTGTTGCCAACGCCGACGCGACTCCGTCACCCTCTTCGCCGACGGCGAGGACAACGACGAAAACGACGACTAGCACGACGACGGGGACTCACATAGCAGTTTGGCTGGGACATGCTGAGTTTGGTTGGTGGAGAGAGGGTAAAAGGCCGGCAATCCCCGAGATCCGAGTCGGTGATGATACGTCGGAGGCCGGAAGGGGCTGCGCACGGGCCATCTGCACCGCTTTTCCGTCTGAATCTCACACCCACTTCTTACCGCCTTTCCCGCGTGAGGCGCCCACGGTCCCCCACGGCCCAGCGCCACCTCCACAGAGAATTCTGATTCGAAGGAACTCTCGATGATGGTGTCTCATAATTACAATTGTAATTGTGGGGCAGCTCATGCACCGCCGTCTTACTCTTACTCCTAACTTGAGAGGATATTATTCCTACAGCCTAACCTCACAGGCTTGCGGCGGCGTCGTGATCGAGACCGTTCGAGAAAATTCTACGTTCTGTCTGTCAATGCTTACTTAGAGTCTGTTCAAAATTGGACGTTCTTTCCTTACGCGTCGGCGTCGCTGGTGGACCACTGGGGTTTCGAACGTCGTTGAGACTGATCGATTCCGGATCCGTTACTCAGCTTACAGCGTCGCGGAACCTTGATCTAATCTTGAATCATTCCATCTGCGGAATCAATCCATCGATTGCGCATCTGGATTCTGGACACATCTACACGTCTATTCACTCCATGATTCATCCCGCACGCGGCCCGCCCGGATGGTAGAACGTTCGCGTCAACGTCTCAGAAACGTTCCCAGCCGTAGGTGAGTCTGCATATGTAATAATCTCTCTGCGCGCAGATGACGAAAGTGAGGATTCGAATATTACACTGGCAGCAATAAAATTATTCGGCCAACAGAATACCCAAGGCCTAGGTCTACAACTAACCTCACATTGGATATATGTGTATATGTGTTCGAGGCCCGGTGGCGGATGGTCCGCACCTGTGACTAGTGAGGTATTTCGTCAGCTCAGCAGGGTACGCTCGTTCGATTCGAGCCCGGGCCACTTTTGTAAGTCCCTTTGACATTTTTTGATCTCGGTTTCTGTTTCCACTGACAAGTCGCTTGGAGTTGAGGAGATTATCATAGCAATAGTTTTTTTTCCTGCCAACTGAAGTCAAGTTCCTAAGCCCAAATTTCAAGGTATTTCAACTAACCTCACATTAGATCTACATTCGATGTATCACAGGCCCGGTGGCGCATGGTCCGCGCCTGTGAACCGTAAGTGTGGCTGGTTATTTATATAAGCAGGATACGCTCGTTCGATTCGAGCCCGGGCCACTTCTTCGGATGAGGCGCATGTTTTTTTGGCTTTCCTTTCTTTCTGTGTCTGTTTCCGCTGACCAGTTCGCGTTCCATATAACCGTTTTCATGATTTACCCAATGGCAGCCCGGCCATCCATACATGTAAGTACTTGATTATTTTTCCACGCTATCACATTAATTAACTTAATTTGCCAACAAATTCCTGAGCCCAAATTCCAAGTTATTTCAACTAACCTGGCATTAAATTTATATTATATGTATGCAACTGCAAGCTATTCGAAGAACTGTGCCTTTGTAAGCAGGATGTGCTTGTTCGAATCGGGCCCGGGCCACTTATATATATACTTTGGGATTTTTTTCCCCCTTGCTTTCTGTTTCAATTGACCAGAACTCAGATTCCCGTATTGTGCAATTGCTCTCATCAATTACGCCAAGCCCGTACCCCGGCCATCCATACGTGTTTCGCGTCAACGGCACAGAGTTTGCTGTAGCATTCGCAGCTATGTGAATCAATCTCGGCCTATATATGCAAGTCGTTCGGAGCTGAGGAGAATATCACAGCAATAAAAATAATCTGCCAAGCGAAGTCAAGTTCCTAAGCTTCTATGTTAGTTCAACTATCCTTATATTAGATTTACATTCAATGTATCTGAGGCCCGGTGGTGGATGGTCTGCACCTGCAAACTGTGAAGGTTCTCGTTTTATATAAGCAGGATACGCTCGTTCGACTCGAGCCTGGGCCTCTCAGGACACTTGGATGTTTTTTGCCCCTTTGCCCTTTTTCTTTGCCTTGTCCTTTCTATTTCTGTTTTATTTGTGCCTACCAGGATTCCGTTCTGTTCCCTTCTTGCGTACCAAGTTCACAGAGATACAGCTCGATACCCTCTCCAAGCCACGAAGGGTAAATCAGGCTAGTAAGGTGGGGATCCACATTTTTGCATTGCACGCAAATCCGATTCGAACCTCACTTCAATGGCTTTTTGTGGGCAAACCAACGCCGATGGGAGACTGATTTTAATTTCACCGAGCTCACATGTATGAGGATGAGAGGGAGGTCCAGTGGCGGATGGTCCACGCCTGCAACCAGTCCGGTGGCGTTTCGAACAAGTCGGCAGGATATGCTCATTCGAATCGAGCCCGGGCCACTTACAATGCGGCGCAGCGATGTTGCCACGTCTCCAACAGATTACTGTCAAAGGCTATAGAATCTTGTTCGGTCCGCCTCAGTCCAGGTAGGATGCACCATGGGCGCAGTTTCTGCACGGCACGTTGCATTATGCTTGGTGTGGTTTCTTTTCTTCCTTTCTTCCTTTCTTTCCGATTCTGATTTTGTTTCCACTGACAAATCACTTGAGGCTGAGGAGACTATCACTGCAATGAGATGTATCTGGGTCTAGAATTACAGCCATTTGCAAAATTGATGACAGTTCTCTAAAAATAGAATAAAAAGAACAACTTGAACACCCCACCTTCTGCTGCTGATTTGTCACTCATTTATGGATGGATTCTGTTAATTCAAGTTGCACCGGATATCAGGTAACCGGGGCTTTCGGCTAGTACCATATTTATTGTGTAATTCAATAGATTGTAGTGTTTTGAAACTCAGGGTGTTTGTGGTCAACCCCCCTTGAACTGTGTATTTTTCGGTCAATTCTCATCCAATTTGGCACATTATAGTCTTAAACAAGGGGCTACCAAGATAATAAATTTCCTTATTTGGGGGGGGAGGGGAGGGCGGGGGGTCCCTGAGCCGCGAAAAAAAAATTATATGCACTTTAGGTAGCAGGGCATTTGAGTGTATTTTAGCCATCCTGGAGGTAAATTGTGTCCTTACCATGCCTGTGAGGATAGACATGGCCATAAATTGACCATAAACAGGTGACATGCCAAACTCAGATTGCGCTTGCGATAAATATGATTAGTATATTGAGTTTTCTGAAACGACATCATGATGCTTACAAGCTTTCCTGAAAGACTTATTGGCTGTTCACTGATTTATAAATCTCATCGAATAAGATTTTACCTTACTATGTAAGTTACCAAACCTCAAGGCCCTTAACTTTGCACCAGAAAGCTGATGGAAGACAAGATGAAACAACAATGGTGCAAAGGGTCATAAGACTGTGTGAGATGCAGTCAGACTAGGCCCCCGGACACTACCTATAAAGCCTGTCCGCTTTTTCCCAAATTTTTTCGTTGTTTTACTCTATGAAATCCGGCCCTCGGTCGCTGTTTTACTCTATTTCGGACGAAGTGTTGGTAAAATACCATTTTCGCGCTGCGGGACTCATTTTTTTTCGCTCCCAGCCTGCCACAGGCGCTTTCCGGTGCATATTGCCCATGTTTAAGCTCAGTTCTGATAGCCCCGACAGCATGGAAGCTGTGCTTGCGGTGCCTCGCGCCCTATACTCATTCAAAAAAATTTCTCGCGCAGCGCGCGATTTACTCTATGACGGACCGACATAGATTGTCCTGGGGTTGTTTTACTCTATATGGCGGACAGAGGAAGGGCCGGTTTAGGCCACTGATTTACTCTATCGTGGACAGGCTTTATAGGTAGTGTCCGGGGGCCTGTCAGACTCTTAACATTCTTGTCTCAGTGTGATTCTGCTCTCAGACGAAGGGACGGGTGTCGGCAGCGCGGCAGCGGCAGCTGCCGGCGAGCTTGGCAAATGTTACCCGAGCGCAATCTGATGAGAATTTCCTTATATAGGTCATTTTCCCATCACGTGGGGAGGGAGGGTCCCCCTCGGCCCTCTGAGATAGGAATTTCGACCTAAGGTATATTTTTCGGGAAATGGTAGCCCCTTGGTCTTAAATGAATGGGACTACTGAGGCATAGGGCCTAGTAAAAAGACATCTTGTATCCCTCCTTCATGTAAGTAGTGCTCCGCGGGGCATTTTTCATCCCCATAGGTAACTACCTAATCTAGTGTATGCATGACTGCTGTGACACAATCCAAAGATATAGGCATGTTTGCCACCCCGCTTGCTTTCAGAAACCCCCGGAATTATTTAAATTCGTTCAACACTCGCATGGATATGGTTGTCAGCGGCTCAGATTCGCGACCATCTGCATTTCGAAGCTGCCTAATTCGCAGACTTATACCGGGAAAATGGTACCAATGAGAAGCCCCTCTTAAGCGCTCTCTGATGCAACTTCAATCAAGCGATTTCATTGAGATTTGACTGAGAAACGAGCACCAAAAGCCGGCACCTCTAAGTTATTCTTTTATTCTATTTTTAAAGGACTGTCATCAATTATGCAACGGCTGTAAATCATTCATGAATTGCGGAACGAGCACGGTAATACACTTGCTTAGGCGTGTTGGGATTGCCGCGTCAACACAGCCACTGACGCGGTGTTGGTGCGCATTGGCGCAGCGCTTGACGCGGTATTGGTGCGGCGAGTACCCATGTGTGCGGCTCACCAAAGGCTCTCCAAACATTAATTGTAGGCTACTGATACTCAGTAACATGTTCATCAAGTTAAGCAAGATAAATGATTGTACACTGACTCTCTCCCCAAAAGTATACATCCCAGGTATTAGACTACCGACTACCTATCTATGTAGCTCCAATTCTGATCCATATCCTACAAGGACTCTTCCAAAAGCAATATTCTCCATGTACAACTGTGGAAATGGACCGCATCTGTCTTTAACAGTTGCCGCGGCAATGCCGCGCCTGTGCGGCTTCAATGCATGTCAGTGCGCCTGCCGCGTCAAAATTTCCAGTCCCCATTTGAACTGCCTCCGGATCGCGTCCGCTTGAGGCAGCGCCCGCTTGCGCCTTGGAACCGCTTCCCAGAGTCTGTCGTGTTGGCTTCACGCTGGAGTCCGGCTCTGTTGCAACGCGGGGACCCCTGGGCACATCTTCGTCGCTGGAATGCCCTTTCAAGCTTTTGTAATCCTCCTCCGTGCTCCAATTAACATCTGATTTCTTCATGGCCCCCACCTTTAGAACCAGGGCAAGTGCACAAATGCACACGATGATCATCTGGAGGAAAATCCCCACAGCATCTAAACACACCCAAGGGGTAAGTAAGCCTGGTCGCATCATGAAGGAATCATATCTTTACCGAAAAGTATCCCTATCCGAGAATACACGGTGTCAATGCACAGAATTCAAAGGGAATCTCAAATCTCACCAAACGATGGATTTCCCACAAATAACGCTCGAAGACCTGGAATGGTCAAGATAATCGTCACCGGTATGGCCAGCACCCATTGCCCCGCCTTTCGATCCCTCGATATCCAGGCCACGATGGTAATATAACACACACAGGCAACCAGCCCCCAGTTGATGAAGAATAATGTGACGGTAAACACCTTGGCAAGCAAGCTGCGCTTGACGATCAGTGTGAACACATAGGCGTTGTCGGTCTCCATTCCGTTGAAAAATATGCGTGCATGTGCGATCGGAGGCAACGTATATCTCCACGCAGGAACAAAGGTCTCCGAGGCGTCGACGGCAGCTACATACAGGATGGGAAGGAAGGTGGAATTCGAGGTGCTGCCGTCCTGTGAGGGTGTGAAGGCGACAAATGTGTTGCTTGACCGGTATGCGTCAAATGGATACACGAATTGCAGGTCCACATAGGCATTCGGATTCAGCCGAAAACTTGGCTTAAAAAACATAGCTGTATGTGTCTATATTCAATTGGCTTACAAAATTGCGCTGCGATGGAGTGCTTTTTATGCAGAATTAGTGGACGAAGCTTGGCTAAAATGTGATTGGCATACAATAGAGATTGGTCTCCTTGGAATGGATCCTGAGATGGATCAAAACACCATGAGGGTGCCCTTGAAAAATGAAGAACTCGAATTCACGTTGACTAGACCGGTGCACTGCTAACTCACCCATTGATAGCAAGACAAACATTGACACTTGGTCTTCCACAATTCGATCCAGTTCCGCCGTTCAAGAGTCCATAAGACGGTTCGGTGCGTGCAAAATATTTTCCGCACCCTGCTGGCTGCCAACTAACCAGCATCTATCGTAGGACAAGGTCG